TCCACTGAAGCTCTATTGTTATTCAATTCACATTTATCCCGAAACTTGAGCAAAGTTCAAGCAGGCTGTTTAACGGCACGCCGCGCCGCCAGCTGGCCCGCCAATTGGTCGCTTGTCGACGACGGATCTGTGTCTAATTTTTTCGCCTGTGCTTATTTTATTCATATTAATTCTCAGCGCGTTGGTTGCGGGACGCGAGGGGTGCTCCCCCACACCCCACTTCCTAAAATGTAAACTCGCGTTGAAATACTCGCCTTAACTAAACGTTACAGACACTGCAGTGCTTCTATAAGCGTCTAATTTGAAAGTATCATTAATCACTGTCTCTATCAGTACAAACTCTATATAAGCTTGTTTTATTAAATAAAAAAACAATTTTCTATTTGTCTGTATTCATTGAGCTTCTAAAAATCTAATTTAGCCTTTTGAAACCCATTAGTCTTTGAGTGAAAACCTCGCATATGTAAATAACATAGGGTCGTGTGGAGTAATGATCCATCCATGATCTAAGCGCCCAGTTACACGACGAGAAAGTTTACGACCGCCCAGTTCCTGCGCTTTCACGTAGGTACATTAATGGCGAATCTGAGTTCTATTTACTAGGCAACAGCGCGGCCGCCGCGTGAAAGCCGCGTAGACCGAAGACAAGCCAGACTCGCTCGCGCGTCCCGAACGCTCATTAAAACGTAAAAGCTACATAAATAGAGCGTATTTTGCCATGACAGAGAGAACTTTTAGAGTTTAGAACTATAATCCGTCAGTCGATAAAACGGACAAAGTTAGTTTAAACGATTTTAAAGAGATGTCGCTACCATATCCAAAAGGTCCAAAACAAATTTCGACATCTTGAGAACACAAGTTACATTTTACCTTTATAAGAAATCGGTGACAGTTCCTCTTTTCCCATCTTTTGGGGAAAGTGAAACGTTAGCACCATTTACATCTTTTCAGCAAATACATCATAAAAGTTTTGAATTTAGCGCAATTATTGTTAAAACGTGTTCAAAATTCTTATTTCTTCCTAGAGCTCAATTAACTCAAAGTAGCAACAGTCTATTGTCGTGGTTTTAGAAAAAAACTGTCAGTCGTTTCTTATTGTTGATTACACAATAAAGAAAAAGGTTACTTTCATTGAAACAATATTATAAAAAATACTTATTAGGGGACACCCGGGTTAGAACCTCTCGATATGCAGTCTACCTTTAATTTGTTTTTACTGATTTTTGTTGAAGCAAAAACTTGTAAACGTCTTATATATATTATTAAAGTAATAAGCATCGGGAAGAGATGTAATTTAAGAAATGTTGACAAGTATTTACTATATTTTATACTCAATTTTTATCTCATGCTGAAAAATTACATAAGTAATATGTATACGAGGTATTCACTCTAAGACGACGCTATATAGGTATACTTTTTTACAATGACGATAAACCACAGTAAATAAAATCATAGCATTATTTTAAAGTTAGCCAAGCCGTTAAAATTGTATAAAAGTGTGCATATGATCTTTAAGTGCTACGAACATATTAAAAATTTTATATTATATATGTATTAAAAGAATAATTAATAAATACCTTCCATTTCCAAAACTATGGGAATGGGACCTTGGCAGCGTTAAAAATAAATATACATATAAGCATCTGCAGCGAAATTATTTAACATATTTGTCATAAAAACTACTTAACTAAATACTTAAATTGTTTATATTTCTTTGTTTTTAATACAAAGGTCGAACAAAATTCAAATTACTTTACAAAAACTACAAAAGTGAAGTAATTTCACAGAAAAAAATTGAATGTCACGGTAGTAATTACAATTATTAGAGTTACATGTCTAGTCAGCCTTTTGTAAGTTGTGAGTTGCGTCTTTTGAGCTGCTCAGTTTGCGCTCGACCGAAATTCGGTTGGAGCGCCAGACGAACGCATTTTATTCTGTTGCTTTTGAAAGCGTTTATAGCAAAGTGACCCCCTTCCCTCACTTCGGCCAGGGCGTCGATGCGACCGAAAGTCAGTCGTCATTAAGCCCGTGAGTCGGCAGTCAACTCATGCATTTTGCGTCGTCGTGTGAAACAACGTACTTTATATGAAGCCAAATGCAGCGCAAACTACGCGACTCACAACTCACAAAATTACGCTCGTCTGGCCTCACACTAAAAATACCTGCCTGGTTAAAGAAAAACTTTTATTGATTTCTCAGAAATGGCGCTACGGCAAAAAGTCGGTAAAACTAAAAACAAAGGTCTGCAACGAGCACATAGAAAAATTCCTAAGTTCTGCTGGTACGTTTCGTAGCTCAGCATCAGCATGGAGAGGTATGTGGTTCTAGTCCAGACCGATCGGAGGAATTTTTCTTAGTGTTCGATCTTTGTATTAATAATTATAACAAACTAGTGGAGTAATTATACAAAAAATATTTTATCTACATACATTTATTATAAACACTCTGTAATGTGTTCAAAAACCGCAAATTACGACCAGCATGTAGATAAACTGTTTTGTTAGAACAAATTTCTTATCTGTGAAAATGTTATTATTCGATTTTATTAACATTCAAATTTCGAACATCTCTGAAAAACAAAATAATTTGATTGGATCTCAATTCTAATATCAGTCGAGATGAAGTTTTATTCGAAATGAAATGTCGATAGCAAACAATTTTGACAATTTCACACGTTACTTGATATCGAACGATATGATACTTGGGGCCGATTCTAGTTTGTCTATGAATTAAAAATAAAAACTACGATTATGTGACAAGCGTGAGAAAAGTTTTTATTTGCCGCCATTTCGCCAGTCGTAACATGCGGTTCCGACATGGATGGATGTGTTCACATCACAGAGAGCTTATAATATGTATGTAGATAAAGCAGTGTATGTAACTGTACATAATTAGGCATTAAAACAATGTAACAGTCACATAAACTATTACAACATCATGGATTTTGCTACCGTCGTGGTAACTTAATATTTGTTCATTAATGATTTGCCTATTTATAAATAGAAGATTATAAAAATATTAAAGCCAGTAATTTCAGAGGGTGAACGCGGATTAGTTGGCGCATGCCGCATTCTTCGTTTAAAGAAAGATTCACACTACAATGGACCTCAAAAATATCAGCAACGATGCTGATAATTAGGGCCCGGATTAATATATTATTGATTACAATAATTGACGTTCTTTAATTAGTTTTCTACATAAATAGTGATATTTAGAATAAAAAAAGTGATTTTTATTTTCCATATTTTTCTTTATTTGCAGGTTTAGACTATATTTCTACACGAAACTTGCTAAAAACATTTAATTTAATTAAAAAATAATAAAAGTTCGTGCGTGCTCCAAAAAAGAACAAAGGTTTTAATCACTAAAAAATTAACAGTGTACTGTGCGGAAGATTAGAAGACAACCTAGACGTGACCTACTTACTTGCGGACTTGTATGACTTTAAAGAAACTTTACTACTAGTAAAGTACTAAAGCGTAATCCATGTGAAAACATTTGTTTTTTGTCTCCATATTTTAAGATTTTTTGCCCACATTATATGTACATATTTTGTAGTTTATACTGCATATTTATCCGAGCCCTACTGATAATATTTACACGAAGAATGACAATCCGTGTTCACCTCGAATAAGCAATAAGTATTTAATGTATGAACGTCTGTTTCTACTTCTACGATTGGAATAAAGGACATATTCGGTAATGATAGCTAAAAAGCTCTGTGCAAATAAATGAGCGTTTTTGTTATATTTGCAGTAATCATAACATCGCAAATGCCGTAGATTAAAGTCTAATGCATTTATTACTGGCTCTCCCCACCCTCATGTCGACAAGTTAAATTATCCTTGCACAAAATCACCGCATCGTAGGCTGCTTGTCATCCATGGTCTTCTAGTGATGAGGCCACTAATCGATAACCTTCCTTCACAAATTTACACATACGTCATACTTCTCTCGATAGTGTAAGTAGGAACCACATACCTACATTTGCTATTTTTTTTTATCAAGCCCATATAGAACTAACCTAATCCAAGCCAATATAGAAAAGTTGGTTTTTCTATATGATCCGACCGGGGATTGAACCCGGAACCTCAAAGATGGCGACGCCATGAAAAGCAGTGTGCAAGCTAGCAATGAAAGAGACACACTCTTTTAAGGCGTTTTATAACGACTCGACTTCATTTTACAGAACTCGATTCTAAAATTAAGACTGGGGGTTCGACTTTTTATTAATATGACTCTGTCGTTATACTAAAAGACTCAAAAGACTTAAACGACTTGAAAGACTTGAACGACTTGAGAGACTTGAGAGACTTGAAAGACTTGAAAGACTTGAAAGACTTGAAAGACTTGAAAG